CACTGCCCGCACAGTGCGGGTGCGGCACTGGAACGGCGCTGGCACTGCCAACTCTGGACGCAGTTTCAAGACGAACTGCTCACTCACCTTCTTCTGGTTTGCATTCTTGTCGGCTCCCACAAATAGCAATGCTAGCAGTATCAATACGACAATGAGCAAGAATATGGCTAGAAGCGACATTAGTAAGGTCGGTCACTCGGAGGCTGACCGCTCCGGTTAGTAATGACAAGTGAAATAGTTCACACTCTCAATGCATCTCCTATAAATCCTATTTGCAATCCCCATATCATTCTTATCAATGTACTTAACAAGTCTGTTCATGAAAAATCTTCATTTTCAATGCAAGAAACACACAACACGATATTACCGGGGGCTAATCAGGGCGCAGAATGTAGTGCCGCCAATGCGTCCGCCTGCGCGGGCAACTGATCTTTGTACGGCATGAGACTACATGCCCAGACAGATCAGTTGTCCGCGCGGGCGTAGCTTACCAGCAACATTCCGTCCTCATCCCTTTCTAATCTCTTTACCAATTTGGAAAGGACATCGTGCTCAGAAACACCAGATCACAGACTGAGAGAAGAAGATATATGGACAAATAATAATCAATTGGAACTGTACAAAGATGAATGAATAAGTACTTATCATTACAATATTTACAAGAATATGAACAATAAACAAAAAGAATTTCTTTGAAGACGGCAACCATGTACGCTCTTCACTGCTCGACTGCCGTTGAAGTAGCGGTATCTAAAATAAGAGTTTATTTATTTACTTGAAGCAAAAAACTTTGACTTTTTCTTTTTCTTCAATAGTTTTAACACTAATGAGGTCAGTCGAAAAATGGGCTCATTGAGTATTTAATTACCTCTTAACAAGTAACTGATGCTAACGAAAATAAATACGAATAATGACAAGGGCAAGACGTTTTTGCTCAAGAAAAAGTTAAGCGAGCTATAAAGTTACAAAATATTTTGGAAACACAAAGACTGTTGAAGATAAATTTGATCAAAAAGGATATTTTGTCTGTAGCCACAGAATCCTACTTTGATTTCGCTGCCTTTCTTTGTCTTCAAATCACTCTCGCTGCGCACCATTTTCGAAGATATTTTCAAAACTCGGAAATTTCTTTCACACAACTTTGATGCAGTACTAAAACTCAAATATTTGTCGAGATATAATTCTGTAGATATTCACTTTCTTAGGACTCAAACATTGCTCGAAAGATGAATAAAATAACGGGGTCTCTTACCTTTGATTTTCGCAGGTTCTTCGGCGTCGGCACTCGATCGGCTTGAGCTGGTGGTCAGCAGCGATGTCATCGAACAAACTTCCATCGTCTCTTTCTCCTCACGAGCAAGCTAAAAAATCCCAAACTGTGAAAAAATTTTAACAATCTAATCAGAAAAGTGAAATGACTTATAAAGCTCTACTTGACGCTGACAGAATAACAGATATTGATATCAAATTTTTCTGACGTCAAAGCGCGGGAACAACAAGAATGATTATCTCTTGAGTCTTCTAGCTCACCTGTTCTTTCAGCTTTTGATATTCCTGAGATGGGTACATGCCAAGCATTTTGTTGAATTCTTCGGTAAATTCAGCTTCTTCACTGAACAGCAAACCTCATACTCTTCCGGGGAAAATGACAAATTGAACTTACACGCTAACTCTTCGTACAAATTCGTCTATTCTGCTGGATAAAGTATGCTGCCGTTCAATAAGTTCACGGAGTTTGGCCAGAGATTCTTCCATGGATCCAAGAGCCTAGAACAGGTTTATGCAGCACTACAATTTTTTCCAAAATTAGCAAATTAGGCAGGAATTACTAGACCCCCGTACAAGAGAGATTATATTTCACAAGGCCTCAAGTGCAACACTGCTCAGGCGGCAGCTCATATGATACATTGGACGAGCAAATCCAAGCCTCACCCACTACCGTAACGCTGTCCGTAAAGGTTACGGTAATGGGCGAGAACTGAGAAGTGAATTTCTTGGTCACGAATGAAGCATATGAGCTGCCACTTGAGCAGTGCTCAATTAGGTGGCTGTAGCACAGTCTGGAAAAGGGAGAAAGGACAGAATAAGCTAGCAAAATATTCAAAAAATAAGTGGTATACCGAACATACCTGATTGCACCCGCAATTCATCATATTCAATGGTGGAACAAGATCTCCAGAAGTATAAGCTTCAAATTCCGATCGTTCCATTTTCAAACTTGCATAATTCATGTCTTGTACAAATTGCAGCGCACAAGACAGATTTGTAAAGAAATATCCTGCAAACACAATATTCATAGAACAGAAATGAACATGAAACAAGAATAGTCCCTTACCTGACTCCCCGCTCATAATACGTGTTGGTAGAGCAAAACGGCTAATAAATTTTACATTAGATTGAATGAGGGGTGGATTCCCCTTGAGCAGGACGTATATAAGCACCGGTAAGAATTCGTCGGCACTCGTTGGAGCACCTGGAAAGCAATGAGACAATCGTTATTCGTCCTCCCGAGTCTGGTATTCGTGCATAATTATGTTAATTCTTAGTAAGGTATACAGAAAAGGACAAGAACACGTTTCCATACGAGCAGTACGAAAGAATCGAAAGCTAGCTTGATTAATTGCAAAATTAGCTGGAGAAAAGCCGGTTATTTTGGTCTAAAAATCAGTCAATTAGAAAAAACAGGAAATAAGAAAGTTGGTCTGATCTTGAAAAATTGAGAAACAAGAAGAATTCAATTCCTTAGTAACTTGAAAAAACGGTGCAAGTCGGAGCACAGTGATATAATTTCAGGTTTCTGGGAACCCCCATATGGTATAATGATACAAGTCTTCTGTGATTACAAAAAGGCTTCCGAGTGAGTAAACACAAAAATAATGAAAAAAAAACAA